AGCATTACGTTTGGGGCTGCCAGGCAAACTCCCTTTTATCCTTGAAGGTGATCTAGGGTGGTGGAGGGGGAAGAGGGCTGTAGAGCTGGCAGGGTGGTTGGCTGGGGGCCTTCTGACTTCCACAGCCAAGCCTGCATCCCATCAGGCTTTGGGCATTGATTTTATCACTACTGTAACTGCAGCTCATGGGCCGGCCTGCCCCTGGTTGGAGGTTCCTACACTCTGGCCTCCTCTCCATGCCAGGCCCTCTGAGCACATTGAAACCCTCTTCCCTGAGGCCTGGCATCTGCAAGCCCCGTGCCACTGGTGTGCACGGACTTCAGCTTCTGCTCTCCCACTGCTCACGGCATTTGGACCAGGGACGGGGCATCTTCTTGATGAGGCTCGCTGTCTCCCTGGTACACATTCCAGGACCGATGCTTTCTGCTCCTATGACCCCTTCCCAGGACTCTGTCTCAGATCTGGGAACTGGGCCCCTCTCAGAGACTTCAGGCAGGGTCTTCACACCACATCCCTTGGGACTTAGCAATTAAGTGTGCTTCTGTGGCCTTCCAGCAGCCAGTGTGTGCATCTCTTGGCTGAGGGCTCATTTGGAAGCCAGAGATGACAACTCTCCCCTACACGGGGAAGGCAAGAAGTGGCCGAGAACACACATCACCCCACCCCAGTCGCCCTCAGCAGATGACTGATGGAAGTTGATGTGTAAATACCCCAGCTCCTTCACCCCTTGGGTAAGGTCTCTCTGAGGCATACATGCTCTACACTGATCCCTGGAGCCTCCCTGTGGGACTAAGCTCCTGTCACCCACGGTGGTGGTGTAGGTGCCCCAGTGACCCCATGTGACAGAGTAGAACTGCCCCATAGGGTTTTCTAGGCTGTGATCTTTACAGGAACAGATCACCAGGTCTTTCTCCCACGGAGCGGCTGGGTGGGTTTGAACCACCAACCTTTTGATTAGCAGCCAAGCACTTAACCATGGCCATTGTGCCAGTAGGGCTCCTTCCCCCAGTGGTAATGGATTGATAACCAAACCAGACCCGTCAAGTTGACTCTGACTCACGGCAACCCCATGTGCATCAGAGTAGAACTGTGCTCCACAGGGTTTCAAGGGCTGATTTTTCAGAAGTGGGTCATCAGGTCTTTCTTCCAAGGTGCCTCTGGGTGGACTTGAACTTCCAGCCTTTTG